TGAGGCAGACACCCTGTCAACTGTTAAGGCTAGGCTTAAAACTTTCCTTTTTGATAAAGCTTATAGTTAGAGTGGCACAGGTTATCCTGAGCTATCTCTATAGTTATGCTGCTATAGGCTTAGACTTTTGGAGGACATAGGGACCCCCATTTCATCATTCTGTTTCATCCAATCTCTATTCTCGTACTCTGCAGAATCTATTAGTTCAATCTCTAATGTTATGCTCTCTCCGCTTTTTCTCATAGTAGCTTCATCTGGTCTGTTCCTGTTTGGCTGTGGCTCCATCCTGGAGAGAAACATCAGCTGTGCTGCTTCCATCAACACCTTTGTTTATAGATGTTCGAGCTCTGCCTGTTTTTCATTGTAGTCCTGTTTCTCTGACTGTGAATGGCCGGATGTGCTCTCTTCATCCTCTGACATGGGAGCTGGCTCTGAGCTCGTCTGCCTGGCTCTGTGTTTCCTGGATGGGGGCCACCTGTGGAGCTGGTTGACAGTTGCATTTTATATCTCTGAGTCTTTCTGTATCTCTGCTTCTGTCTCCTTCACATCCAGTCAGCCTCAGCAGATGGCCGCTCACACTGAGCCTGGTTCTACTGGAGGTTTCTTCCTGTTAAAAGGGAGTTTTTCCTCTCCACTGTCGCTACAAGCATGCTTCGTGTGAGATTGCCATCGAGTCAATGAGTCGATGCAATCAACCGGTTTTCCTTATATAGAAAACTTTGAATCAATTTGACTGTATGATCTGGAGAACTGTAAAGTGCCTTGAGATTACGTGTCGTAAATTGGCGCTATATAAATAAACTGAATTGCATTGAATCTTAAAAAGGGAATTGGCGCACCTCAAGACGTGTTTGGTTTTGGACCTGTATGGGTCTGCTGATGAAGACGGAGGATATTGTCTTGTGATAGAAGGAGAGCTTTCAGGGTCTCCTCTGTCAAGTCACCAGGTCCTCTTGGGAAGAGACGGCTTTGACAAAGGTGAAAGCAGTGGTAGTTAAAAAGGTAGATTTGATTTTTCTTGAGATACTGAAGGTTCTGGACATTGTTGGACTATAAGGACTGACACATCTCTTCATTGTCACATTGATGGCTGGGGAAACACCTGTGGAGACCAGGGAGGTGGTCCAGAACTCAGACAGTGGACTGTCTAAGTGTTTTCTAGCAAATGATAAATCACACTTTTGTTTTTTCTTCTGAAGAAATGTTCTCTAGGGTAGGAGGTCTAAAACAGTATGCTCAAATGTTCAAATCTGACTCCTGGATACGTTTGAAAGTCTGGGACAACTAGTGCAGATCCTGTTTACTAAACTTCTTTATATCTTACAAAGAAAAGCACTCTTGGTGCCTCCATGTTGTCTGGTTAAGATGATCCTTTCCACATGTAGAGTGGAAATTACCACTGCATTGAGTTCAAGTGCTTTTGTTGTGGTAGACAAGAGAAATATGTTGGATCCAAAGATTATCCTGACCTGCTGTTCGGGTAAAAGAGTAATAGAATTCCTAATTAATCTGCAACAACTGACTACTAGCGAGCATCTAATAAAACATTAACTGTCATTTCCAATAGACACATTGTTAAATGGTGATATTTTTTTTATAATATTTATGTCACATCATTGTGTAGGCTACAAAGATAACAAGATAACATAGTTTGAGAGGGGTGTGAAGGAAGCAATCTATGTTAAGAAAGAAAAACAGACCTTAAACAGAGAGGGTGGTCTCAGATTTCAGCTTTCAAAAACCGATAGAGTTGATTCCTTCCTGCTGTCATCGAAACCCCACCACCTTACAAGGGAACAGATCCTGGCTGAACCTCGCCCGTTCAGTCAGACCAACAATTCCCCCTAACGACCCCCTTTTCATAGACATAGACAGCACATTCCTAAGGGGCAGACCTGTTCCTCCGGTTCAATTTGCATATTTTTTAAGCCAAAACAAGGCTTTGTTTTTGGTCCATTCTATAAAGCCTCGAACTGAATGCTATTTGTGACATTTTGAATTGATAAATCTTCCTGAATGGGAAGCAAAACGTCTTCAAACTTGGAAAAAACATCCAGTGGATTGTTTTTAACTTTTTGGGACAACATTAGAGAATGCTTAACGATGCAGTACTCGCTATATAAAATCCTTTTGCTGCTCTCCGCCACTCTGAAAGGTCAAAGTTTACCTCATCTGTGCAACTCAGGCATCATAGATTTTTCCTAACTTTCCAGTGGAAATACCAACATGAGAAGGTGTTCATGTGCAATTTTTATGTCGTTTTCTGCTATTTACCATAATTACCATACCACATGAAGATGGATGGATAAAAAAAAACTGTTTAAACAGTCAAGACACTGAAGGTAGATAGTTATAAATTATGAAAATAATTCAAGAGTCACTTCATTTCATACTTCAAAATAAGTCTCAAACAGATCTGACAGGGGATCAAAATTAAAACACCTTCATATCTGTGGCTCACTACGCCTGGAGCAAAAACAACAACCAGAGAAGGTTATATTGCAAAAAGTATTATTTTATTTTTACATAACATGATCTTGTAGTAATGATTCCCAACCTTGAAGGTTCTTGTTCCCCTAGTGGTCAGTGAGTGCATTGCAAGGAGGTACATGAAATATCTTATTTCTTAGGTAGTAAAATAAAATAGGCCTGGGATTTTGCTTTGAAAAATTAAATAAGCTTTTAACAACCAAAAAGTAAGTTTTTCTTTGAGTTCAGCCTCAGCTTTGACACACATCCAAACCAAGCAGAGGTACAGACTGGATGTAGAGAACAGCCTGAGATCAGCTGTTTTTCACACTGAGCTATCGTAGCTCATAAAAGCAGCTCAAGTGTCTTGATGAAAACAAAGTTTAACTAATTAAGTAAGTCTGTCAATAATTTTTGTTCTGTACTTTGTTCCCAATTTATCCAGGTTAAATGTGATTATAAGGGAGCTCCAGATTTATAAATGCAGGTTCATAATAAGATTTTATTTTGTAATTATTTTTGATTCCTTATTAACTTCCAGTTAATACATTTATGTTTTTTTTTATTTGAAATGGAAAGAATTAAATGCTTAACCCTATAATGCCAAATGTATCGTATTTGATACATACGGTTTCTGAAATGTTTTGCGTCTGACA